TTCACACTAAAAACACCTTACACATATTGTATATTATTGTTTACAAAGACATAAAGGGGTTGTGAGTTTTTGCGAAAGCATACCATTCTTTTCCTAAATAAACACTCATACACTCCTCCACATCATGCTGTTCAGAGTTCATGCATGAGGTCAGGAAAATGCTGACCATGCAGTAAGCTCTTTGCCAGTGATTAATTTTGCTGCTTGAATGATAGTATAGTGTCTTTAGGGTGCGGAGTCTAAGAATCTTAGTTGTCCAAAGGTTCTCCTTGTAGCTATACTTCAGTCTTATACCTGCAAATGGTGAGATCAGATCCAGTTGGCATCATAAAATCTGAAACTTTATCTGCTTCTTTTCTTTAGCTTCAGATCAAACTTTTCTTTACTGCTCTTCTTTGTCAATGTAAGATGTGGTATATTATGTACTATACATAATTTCACTACCTCCAATTCCCTCAGTTTTATCACCAACTACCAATGGGATAATACTCTCCTCATCAGTGGAGTCTGAGAATGGACATGTAACAGTGTGTCCTGATACCGCCATCACATTCACCTGCTCAGACACTCTAGTCTTGGGTATGAGATGGTTTGCTCTTCCTCTTCTCAATGAAGACAACTCTCCTGTTCTGGGATCAGATATTGATATTGGAGATCCTATACTAGTGGAGGATGTGTTCACTATCACTCTAGTGGCCAGGGAACTGATGATGGGTGACTTTCGTGGCAACTATACCTCCACTCTGGATGTAGTGGTGAATGATAGAATACAGAATGGAACCAATGTCACCTGCTTCACACCTAATGTGGCCTCTCTTCTCATTTTCCAACAAGGTCGACTGTGATTGGCAAAACTCAATGTGTGATAGCTAGTACGATTATCATGATCCTTATGCTACCAATCCTTAGATAATATTGTGTATGCAGGTCTTCCACTTCCTCCAGATGTCAATGTCAGACATAGTTAGTGATTCTATTGAGGAGTTTACAATCTGCCTCACATGGCAGAGACAGAAGTCTGATTTGTACTACCTGATCAACACTAGCTCTGGCATGGGATATAACCAAACATCCACTGAACTCTGTCTGACAGCAGAGTATAATACTCCTCTACAAGTCTCAGTGGTGGCTGTGAATTGTACAGGGGAAAGTGAGCCAATGACTACCGACATCACCATACGTATGGCAATGATTTACGCTAGTGCTAACATTAAGATTGATTCCTCTCCCTCAGCTGGCTGTGGTCCTCCCAGTCCACCAGTGAATGGCAGTGTTGGTGAGTGGACCGTTCCAGAGTAGGAGCACAGGTCACCTACTCCTGTGACACCACCTGGTTCTGGTGGGAGAGACTGTGGCCACATGCTCTCTCTCTTCTCTAACATGGCTGCCTAGTAGTGATGATGTCATGTGTTTAGACCACAGGTATTGTACAGAAAGAATTAAGTCATATAACTGAATATAATGTTGTACTACATTTCAAACATGTCACAACTCCAGCTCAGTTCAGTGACACTACCAAGTAGCCATGCATGAAGCGTAGAGCATTGAGTCGCTCACTGTGCTTTTGACACACGATGATGGGTGGAAAAAGAGGGCAAGTTCTCTGAGTACAGCAGAAGCAGTGGTCACAACAGGAGTAGTGTGTGTAGTGTGTAGCTTCACTGCTGGACTGCTACTTGGTGTTCTACTGACTCAATGTCATGGTCACTGTCATAGGAAGGGGAAGAGAGGCCAGACTGAGATACCTCCTGTTTATGAGGACATTCCCTATGAACACAGAGTATAATACTCCTCTACAAGTCTCTGTGGTGGCCGTGGATTGTATAGGGGAAAGTGAGCCAATGACTACCAACATCACCATACGTATGGCAATGATTTACGCTAGTGCTATCATTAAGATTGATTCCTCTCCCTCAGCTGGCTGTGGTCCTCCCAGTTCACCAGTGAATGGCAGTGTTGGTGAGTTGACCAGTTCCAGAGTAGGAGCACAGGTCACCTACTCCTGTGACACCCACCTGGTTCTGGTGGGAGAGACTGTGGCCACATGCTCTCTCCCTTCTCTAATGTGGCTGCCTAGTAGTGATGATGTCACCTGTGTCCAACCATCAGGTATATACCATGACTAGTCATTAACTACACATTTGACCCAATAATTATTATGCAGTCGTGCCAGCAGTTACACCGATTATGCCACCAATGAGTCAGGCTGAAACTTAGAGAATGAGTCGTACTGGCTATATCTCCACAGATGGTGATAAAGGAGGCAGTTCTCTGAGCACAGCAGGAGCAGTGGCCACAACAGGAGTATATCGTAAACATAATTATTACACTTAATTAATTAACCTGCACAGCTCCCTCAGTATCAGTGACACTACCAAGTAAGACCAATGCATAAAGCGTATGCATGCATCCTCATGATACTCTGTGACACAGCTATGAATGAAGATGGCAAAAAGAGTGCCAGTGCAGCTCTGAGTACAGCAGAAGCAGTGGCCACAACAGGAGTAGTGTGTGTAGTGTGTAGCTTCACTGCTGGACTGCCACTTGGTGTTCTACTGACTCATTGTCATGGTCACTGTCATAGGAAGGGGAAGAGAGGCCAGACTGAGATACCTCCTGTTTATGAGGACATTTGCTTGAGAAGACCCTCCCTTGAACTCAACACTAATGAGGCTTATGGACATATTTCACACAACTAGTTTTATGTTACATTATAGCTGTACAAAGAGCATTAACTGAATCCTTACATGTTGTTTGATGTGTCTTCTTTATAGCAGTATAGCAAGCATTTGTGACTTCATAATGACGAATTATAGTCCAATGATGATCCAACTAGGGTGGTGATATGGTTACGTCCGATACACTGTTTCGATGGTTGTTGCCTATTTATTGTGCACAACAAACGACGCCGCACTTCATGTGAGTTGACCTGCACACGTACAGACCTTAGTTAGAGAACCAACATGGCTTTGCATGCAAGACTCTTACCAGTTCTCCACCGGTATTGAGAAATCTCTGTCCGTACTGTCATTTTTGATCTAAGTCATGAGATAGGTAATGGACACATAATCCAATCACAGTAGCAAGATGGACTTTCATTAACCCTCGGCGGACTTACTGAGACAGCTTGGCTCTCATGGCTCCATGTGCCACTGGCTCTTGTAAGGTAAGCGTATATGCAAGCACATGCGCAGTTCGCCGAGTGTTTGACACTTTAGTGCTAAATTTTCTTCAGTTTACTGCATTAAGAAGCTACTCACTGCATGCTTTTTCTATCACATTCAGAAAACATCCACCGTTTCTTTCTTGCATGTATGTGTGTCAGGCAGTGGAGAGGCCGAGTGAAGCTGTCAGTCTAAGTCCCCACGTACCTCGCTCCCTCGAGTGGAAGATCCTCTATAACCATCAGTCTAGTTCACCTCTCTCTCCACCACTTTGCCTCTGCCTACCACTTCCTGAGAGCCACCGTGGGACTCAACCCACAATCTAGACAACTCTTCATGCTACTAGCAGGTCTCTCTATTGTAAAATATCTACTGAGGGAACTTTTAAAGGAAGAAATCTCGCAAATTTCTTTATAAGCTGCCTGCAAGAGTTGTCTCTGTGAAATTTTGTGAGCGAGAGAGTTTCATTGAAGGGCCAGCAATATTAGATTGTGTGAAGTTTGACATTTGCTTCCACTGAAACACTAAAGTTTTCGTATGGTTACTGCTGAACAGACTTAGACGTACTAGGGTAATGTCCAAAAGGCTTTTCTGTGGTTTGTTTTCATGGAAACCACGACAAAGGATGTACATTCTATTTTACTGAGAGTGCCCAGGAATGTCATGAATATTTTAGGAAAACCACAAGTGTTTGTGCTGGTCTCCAGTATAAAAGAGGTGCTGGACACATCTCAGCATCGCTTCTCGGCCCTCTCGTGGCTAAGATCAAGTAGAAATAACTGTTCTTACCAGTGTAATACGTGCGGACACTCTGCTGTTTCACTGGGGCCACCTCTCGTTCACGGGTTATTGCCGAGAGAGAGGTGTGCGTTTTTCGTAGCCGATTCTCTGCAGGCGAGAGGCGATCATGGGAGTGGACGACTCATCAACACTTTCAGTGGAAATCATACACCCACAGCAGGCAGTCTTCACATGCCCAATTTGTAACACGTCCTTCTCGGTGTACTCCTCCTGGACGAGGCACTTGACATTCAAACATCCTGAGGCAAAAGTCGACCTGACGTTCAGATGTGGCGAGTGTGAGAGAGCCTTTGACTCCCGGAGATCCGTATCCAATCACCATTCAAAAATCCACGGAAGGGCAACACAGCCTGACCGTGGGGATCGAAGCGGGTCGCCTGATCTGCGAGTTCTGCAGTGAGCACTTCCCGAATAAGCGGTCCCTTGGGCAACATATTCGCAACCAACACATGGCCGAAGCAAGTCGGAAGAGAGCAGCAGAGTGGCAGGCACGTGAGTCTACCCTCTGGACGACGGACGAGCACCAGCTTTTCATCAATGCACTACAAGAGCTCGGCCCTGACTCAAACGTGGCTATCGCCCGGAGGATTCCTACTAAATCAGCGAAGCAAGTGGGAGTCCACAAGAGAACATATCTGCGCGACCATCCAGAAATGCGAGGCACCCCGACATCACCTACGCCCCTAACATCTCTATCCATCACAGATACGCCGCCATCTTCTGCGCCTCCGCCAGCTGGGCAGGCGATCTCCCCAGTTGAATCCACCCACTGCTCCACTATCACCCCTGTCACCCTGGGCTCTGGAGGTGCCCCTGGGCCCTCCACTCTGTCTTTGGGTTCACCCTCCACCCCCAGCACCAACTCATCGAGTGATCTGACCCAGACCTCCGATTTCGCCTCGACCTCCGACTCCGCTGACGCCCACGATACGCGGACCCTCGACATCACCGAACAGCCGAACCTCGATATCCCCAGACCAGCAACTGTACCCGAATCACTAGTTGGGAGGGAAGGGAGGGCTGAGGTGGGGGAGGGATTGCGGTTGGAGGGGGCAGAGGAGGAGGGACTGGATGGACCTGGTGCTGGCGGGGAGGAGGGGAGATTGGAAGGGGAAAGTGGAGGGGGAGGGGTTGCGGAAGAGGGAGACACACGATCGACCATTGCAACTGTGCTTCGCAGGTACAATCGAAATTGCTCTAGATTCATGGACCGAGACCTGTCCACACAAGAATGGTCAGACTTTGAGAACTTGACCAGTGAGCTGACTAATGAGTTAAACCTTCTCCGACCGACCAGACCGGCCACTCATCCAACTACTCATTGGAGGAGTAGACAGGGGCGGCAACGCCAACAGAGACGATCAAACAACAACGAACGAACTCCAGTCCCTGCATCCCCGGACAATTCCATAGGATCCGACTCCATGTCATCACAGGCAACAACACACACACACCCCTCCGGAAACCGAGGGGGCAGAAATCGGCATGACAGAGCAGAAAGGAGGAAACGAGCCAGGGAGGCTAAGAGACTACAGCGCTGGTACAGAGCAAACAAGAAGAAATGCATTCGCTCAATATTGGGGGATGAGTCCCCTCGCTGCGAGATTCCTCTGACTGACCTCACTGCCCACTTCTCCTCCGATCCCCCTGCACCTCTCGCCCCCCCGGATCCAGACCTTCTCCCGCATGCAGTGGAACCAAGCCAGCCCGATGAACTTACATTCCCGATCAGCCTAGAGGAAGTAACCCACCAGCTAGGGAGACTCCCCCTTAACTCTGCTGCTGGCCCCGACGGAATTTCCTACGAGATGTGGAAGTGGAACACCGAAGCCCACCACCTCCTTGTAAAAATCTACAACGTCTGCATGCGAAATGCCCGCATCCCCAGTCAGTGGAAGCTCAGTTCCACCATCCTGATCTACAAGAAAGGCGATAAGACCAACCCAAGCAATTGGCGACCGATATCACTTCAACCAACCATCTACAAGGTGTACGCAGCCATACTCTCCCGCAGATTGGCCGACTGGGCTATCATGAACAAACGAATCAGTCAGGCCCAGAAGGGCTTCCTGCCCTTCGAGGGCTGCACGGAGCACTCCTTCGTACTGCGAAGCGTAATGGAAGACAGCAAACGCCGCAACAAAAATGCAACAATCGTCTGGATAGACCTGAAGAATGCCTTTGGGTCAGTCACTCATGAAACCATGTGGATGATGATGGAGAGGCTTGGAGTCCCTGCGGACTTCCATGAGATCTGCCGTGACATCTACCACAATGCTGAGCACACCATTCGATCCACAGCTGGAACTACTCCACCGATCCCGCTGAATCAAGGCATCAAACAGGGATGCCCCCTGAGCCCCCTTCTCTTCAACATCGTTCTGGAGGGGCTCATCCCCAAACTCGCCACCTTCGACGGATACCGCTTTCAGAATGGAGCCAAGACCAGCTGCCTCGTGTTCGCGGACGACCTCTGCTTACTAAGTTCGACCACCGAAGAAGCCCAAGATATGGTGCAAGCAGCAAACGAATACTTCGATTGGGCTGGGTTCCGGATGAACGCAGAAAAGTGTGGCTCTCTCACGATGGTAAACAACCGGAGCAGGAGGTTCGTGGCACCATTCCCCCCAAAAATAGACGAAGAACGCTCCATCCCCCCCCTTGAGTGGGACGATTCTTACCGCTACCTCGGGGTACAGGTTGGCCGTGAGAGCAAGCAATCGCTAGCAGATCTAGCCGAATCCATCACAACGGACGCAGAGAAGGTGGGGTCCTCGGCTCTTGCCGAATGGCAGAAGATCGATGCTATCCGCACCTTCATCCTCCCCCGCGTCTCGCATCTACTAGAATCATCACTAGTCCCAATCACATGGGCAACGAAACTCGATGCGACAATCAGACGAGTAGCGAAGAAGGCCCTCCGTCTCCCGAAACGCACTATCTGTGCCTTCATCCACGTACCATCAAACCAAGGGGGTCTAGGCATACCTTCCGCCCTGGACATGCTACACATCGCACGGGTATCCAGGACAGTCAAGACCCTAAACAGCAAAGATAAACTAGTGAGCGATATAGCCTGGTCGCAGCTGAACCTAACAATCAAACAGCGACGGGGCCTGCAGGATGTCACATTGGCCGACATCTCCGACTTTCTCAACAACCCCCCACTTCCGCAGGAGAGAAGAACCCGAGACGTACAGAGCCTGTGGAGTACAGTTAGAAAGTCGCTGATACACACCTCGGCCGCACTAGATGTGAGCAACACCGGAGTAACCATTCGAACAGGAGGAAACACACCCGACAGCCCTGCAGAACTCCGTCACCCCACAGCACTTCGCCGCCAACTGCGACAAGCCTGTGAACAGCGACACCTACACTGCCTCCTGGAAGCCCCTGACCAGGGTCGCACCTTTGCCACCGTATCCGCCAACGCAGCTAGCAATCACTGGATCTATTCTGGAGCCTATACATCATTCCAAGACTATCGGTTTGCTACCAGAGCCAGGCTGAATCTCCTCCCCACACGAAGCGTGGCAAAAAGAGCACGACGAATCAGGGAAGACATCTGCCCACGATGCCATGGAGCCCCCGAGACGCTGGCACACATCCTCAATGCATGTCCCCCAAATGCTGGACTAATGAGAGAGCGCCACAACAAGATACTTCAACGAGTTGTGAAGGCAATCCCAACCTCTCTGGGGGAATGCTATGTTGAGCAGAAGGTCTCGGGGTCCCCAAGCGATCTTCGACCCGACATTGTGGTAATAAACAGAGGGGAGAAGAAGGCCATAATCGCTGATGTCACGGTACCCTTTGAATCCTCAAGGGAGGCCCTGAATGCTGCCAGACAGGAGAAGATACGCAAGTACACCCCACTGGCCGAATGGATGAAAGCCGACCTAGGACTGGAAACTTCCGTCCTAGCACTGGTGGTGGGATCCCTGGGCTCTTGGGACAACGACAACCTTCCCACACTCAGAGCTCTGGGGATTGGGAAGAACTACTCAGTCCTCTTTCGAAAACTGTGCGTATCAGATGCTATCTCCGGTTCCCGCTCAATATGGACTCTCCGTTCCTCCCGAAGACAGAACTAACATCCACTCCCCCCTCACAGAAACTTATCTTTTTTCATATTACTCTTGTTTTCTTTTTACTACTTCACACCCTCCAGCTTTAGGCTGAGGGGCAGGGGTTGGCGACAACCCACGCACATTTTGCAATTTTTTGTATGTGCGGCATGCCCTGCCACTTGAAAATGGATTTTTTGAACTGTTCTTACCAGTGTAATATCTGGTACGCAGGCAATGCCTGCTCGATATTACATCAATTTTTGAGCCAGGAGGGATGGCCTGGGGCTTGCTCCACCTCCCTCAGGGGTTGCCCTAGTCTTGCACTGTTGCTAGTGGCAGCCCATCCCCTACTGGGGAATATTTCTGAATCTAAAATCAATGTTATGGGAGTCGTCTGGGTCCTGGTAATGTGACTACAGACCTTTGCCTTGGGCTGTGAAGTCCTGGCACCTTTTCTTTATAGCTTTTAAATGAGTGCAGTGAGTTGGCCTGCACCTTTTATAAAAGTGCAGTGAGTTGTGGTTCTTGTGCATGCTGGTTCTCATTGGGGATCATTTTGCACTGACTCCTACCCCTTTGCTAATGTGTGGTGTGGAGTCCTTGATGTGTGTATTCTGTTTGCTGCAGTTGCACTGGCTCTTCTGCGGGTCCGCTTGCTTTGTGTACCTTGGAGGCACAAGAAGTCACAACGAATGGCGTGTATCGACTCCCGCATGCTATCTACTACTGTAGCTAGCCCGTGTCAGACTCTCCACGAGCTACTCTAGCGGGAGACCACAACTAATAGCCCAGCCCAAAAAGTCAAAAGTCAAAAATATTTTATACCCCATACAGGGAAGAGTGAGATACTCTAGAATAAAATAAAACACTGACGTGAATTTGTTAAAATGGTACAACCTTTACAAGTGACTGACCTAATGTGATAAGGCTCATGATGTACATGAAAGAATGCAGTCGGTGATGTAGTCTGGGGTAATACTTGAGTCAAAATCTGTGTGGCATTCCAACAGGTGTTTGTACAGCGGAGTATCTCATGGAACAGTGTATGTATGCACAGTCATGCATAGGGCAGTGTCAATCACTGAAGACTGAGACAGAGTGATTTCAGAATAGCCATTGATGTTTTGGATCCATCGTACCCATATTCAAGAGCCACATCCAAGACTTTTATCCATCGGTTTTCTTTGGCAAGAAGGAGGATATAGAAGAGAGATGGATGATCAATTAGCGGTATCATGCATGCGCAGTTCGCCGAGGGTTTGCACTTAAGTGCTTAGCATCTCCTTCGGTTTATGAGTTATGCTGGTTGAAGAAGAAGATGAACAAAACTCCCTATCATAGCCCCATAAATCTATAGAGCTAGGTACCACGAACATCCCTATATACTAAGTACTACCAGTGATAAGTCAATTGGAGAAGACACCTAATGAAGTCTGCAGTCACTCATAATGTCCTCATCCATTTTACAGTCCTTTTTGAGTTTACTATATTATGACAATCCAGTCATTTTCCTACAGCAACTTGTCCAATTTTTTTATTATCAACACTAGTGCATGCATGCTAAAGGCACATTCTCTAGAGTTCAAGAGGTCAGTAGTAAGTGCTGAATGAAGACCACCTCACCATCATAAAAACAAGTAAGAAATAGGTTGAAATCCACAATAATTATCAATCCATCTTTGTATTCTAATACAGGTTCACCTTCTCCTCCACCTAATGTGATGGTGAGGACAGAGAATTTCCAACCTGACAACTTCTCCATCATCATCTCCTGGGAGTCAGGGGAAGATGAAGTGGTTGATGAGTACAGAATACTGACCAACACCACTACACAGTCCATCACCACTACCAATACAACTGTAGTTCTAGAGGGAGTGTACAACATTCCTCTGGAAATCAGAGTCTCAGCCATCAACTGTGCAGGCACTAGTGCAGAGGTCACTGAGGAAGTCTTTGTTGGCAAGTTGTCTCACTTAGTGAAGAGATAAACTATTCCATTGGCTCTCTCCCTCAGCTGGCTGTGGTCCTCCCAGTCCACCAGTGAATGGCAGTGTTGGTGAGTGGACCAGTTCCAGAGTAGGAGCACAGGTCACCTACTCCTGTGACACCCACCTGGTTCTGGTGGGAGAGACTGTGGCCACATGCTCTCTCCCTTCTCTAACATGGCTGCCTAGTAGTGATGACATCAAATGCTTAGAGCCACAAGGTATTTTACTGAAAGAATTTGCTCTAGTGGTTAACTGAAATACTTGTCCGTAGCTACAGTTTCAAATGTCCTACCCAGCCTGACTTCAGTGACACTAATTCCAACACCAAGTAAGTCAGTATAGCATCTTTAATGTGGTGTGCTCATCTGTCTCGTTTTAGACCAATGTGGGTGTGAAAATGAGAGAACAAGTTCTCTGAGCACAGCAGAAGCAGTGGCCACAACAGGAGTAGTGTGTGTAGTGTGTAGCTTCACTGCTGGACTGCTACTTGGTGTTCTACTGACTCAATGTCATGGTCACTGTCATAGGAAGGGGAAGAGAGGCCAGACTGAGATACCTCCTGTTTATGAGGACATTCCCTTGGAGAAGACACCTCCCATTGAACTCAACACCAATGAAGCTTATGGACATATTTCACATAACTAAGCTTTCACAACGTTGCACTATAGCTGCACAACATTACTGAACTGGAACAATAAAGATTATGGACACTATTTTCGTATTTTAGTTTACATTCTCCCATCATTTTCCTACAACAACATATCAAAACTATATATAGTGCATGCTAAAAGACACATTCTCTAGAGTTCACAAGGTCAGTCTTAAGTGCTGCACACTAGCTATCCATAATCTGAATCAACCCAGCTTTCATAATGTGGCTGGACAGAGGTCATTTTGCTACTTCACTATTCTTCCACTGCCTCATACTGCTGTGCCTATGGTGAGCTGAGTAGCTAACAAATCAACCAGATTACTAATGCATGCTATTCTTGCTAAAGTTGACTCTTCTACAACATAGCATGAGGTTGTTCTCCTCTACATACCTTTCAAGTTCCAGTATCCAAGGTCTGTCCCTGTCTTCCTCTCCATCATCTGAGGATGGTATCATATCAGTCTGTCCTGCCACCACTGTCACCCTCACCTGTACTGCCAGTGGAGTTGCTCTGGGATGGAGAGACCAGAATGATGCAATAGATGGATTCACTGCAGTGATCCAGAGTCCATGGTGATAGAAGAAGGTCCCTACACTCTGACTCTAGTGTCAGTAGACAATGATGATGGCGATTCTTTTGCTGACTTTACCTCTACACTGGAGGTGGCAGTGGATGACATTGCCAATAGAACTAACATCTCCTGTGTTATACTCGGAAATCAGACACACCTGGTCATCTATAAAATAAGTGAACTACAAAAAGGAATATTTTCGTTTGTGTGACTCTTTGTATGATTTTCTGTAGGAGCACCATCTCCTCCATCTAATGTGATTGTGAAGACGGAGAATTTCCAACCTGACAACTTCTCCATCATCATCTCCTGGGAGTCAGGGGAAGATGAAGTGGTTGATGAGTACAGAATACTGACCAACACCACTACACAGTCCATCACCACTACCAATACAACTGTAGTTCTAGAGGGAGTGTACAACATTCCTCTGGAAATCAGAGTCTCAGCCATCAACTGTGCAGGCACTAGTGCAGAGGTCACAGAGGAAGTCTTTGTCGGCAAGTTGTCTCACTTAGTGAAGAGATAAACTATTCTATTGGCTCTCTCCCTCAGCTGGCTGTGGTCCTCCCAGTCCACCAGTGAATGGCAGTGTTGGTGAGTGGACCAGTTCCAGAGTAGGAGCACAGGTCACCTACTCCTGTGACACCCACCTGGTTCTGGTGGGAGAGACTGTGGCCACATGCTCTCTCCCTTCTCTAACATGGCTACCTAGTAGTGATGACATCAAATGCTTAGAGCAAAAAGGTATTGTACAGACAGAATTTGCTCTAGTGGTTAACTGAAATACTTGTCCGTAGCTACAGTTTCAAATTTCCTACCCAGCCTGACTTCAGTGACACTAATTCCAACACCAAGTAAGTCAGTATAGCATCTTTAATGTGGTGTGCTCATCTGTCTCGTTTTAGACCAATGTGGGTGTGAAAATGAGAGAACAAGTTCTCTGAGCACAGCAGAAGCAGTGGCCACATACTAGGGGGTAAAGTAGTGGTGGTTGAGGAAGGATGGAGGATAGTATGGATGTTGTGGTAGACTTCACGCTGGTACTTGACATACGTTTCGTGTGATGCTAAGCGTGGAGACAAAGTGTGAGAAGTAAAGAGAGTCAAATTTCATGTCAACACTGTCATTTGAAGGAAGTGGAGGAGGAATTGATGCCAGAACTAAGAGAAATACCTTCTGACCTGTGTGTGTGATTGAAGGATTCTAGTTCAACCTGGGAAGAAAGGTGAACACTTGGACCCTAATTGTATAAGGATCGAATATAACGCAGTTAATGGAATAGTGAGATGACGAGGTTTAAGTGAGAAGAAGAACATAATTGTTGCACAACATTAATGATGTGACTCTCGCAGAGGATGAGAGGAACTATGATGATCAATACAGGGCTAGCGTCAGTTTAATTGTATTACAAGTGAACGAGCATGGAAAGGTTTTGAAGTTCTAAGCCACAAGTACAGGATCGTATCAAAAATGTCGATCAATATATACGTAACGTAAGAACAACCGTGATCTCTATACTTCCTTTTGGTGTGTGTTGGGAGAGATGCAATGTAGTGTTTTCCTGAGTTCTCAGAGTCAGGCGAGCTATATGGTACACTTGGAATCTCGGTCTGTTTTCCCACGCTGGGTGATCATGTTAGATGGGTGTTGTTTAATTTGTGCGTCCTGTGCTTTTGTACAATACACTGTTAGATATATACTCTATCGGTTGGTGAGTGACGTGTTTATTATAGGTGTATGGATGTCCTTGACGATAGGTAGGTTTTTTCGAGCTATCTCTATATTCTATAAAATGTCAGAGCTCTAGTTGCGTCGTAGGAACTGTATGTTTGTGGTGTTGATGAATA